GCCACCCACTGGCACACATCCTAAAAAAAAACAAATACAGGTTACTTTAAACAGAACATAACAGCAACAATTTGTAGAGCAGCACTGATGCAGCACCAAATCAGCCAGAGGTGGCTAATAAAACATTTACCTTAAAGGGAGGAATGTCCCACTTGCAATTCAGGGCTTGTTACAATACCTGCTGAGTACTGTGTCAGCTCTCACATCTACAACCGCATACAGTGACATTCCAAACAGCCAACGCCCTGGAGAATCAAACATTTGGCGTGCACACCTGGTGCTTATATATACTAATGAGCCAAGCCACTGAAGGTGGAGGCGGGGAAACAGGGCAAGATGAGTTCAGTGGCCCAGGAACAGTGGGAATTTACAGGCACTTATACATTCATCTAATAACCACCCGGTTACATATAAGTACCGTCCATTTACCATTTACCATTTACCATCAGGTGCTAACCATCAGTTAGGCTGATGGTCCTCTGATGTGAACAACTAGTTCTGGCCGTCACCAGCAAACTGGTTGATCCACTATGAGAAGGTGCTGTTTATAAGAGGGTTGCAAAAAAAATCCATTAATTAAATGATCTAGATTCCTAGTCCTAGTGATTCTGAATAAAACAATATATTTTATGGGCCTTTAAATTAAGTCTAATTTTATATTTTTAATTTGAAAAAACGTTCAAGTTTTATTTTTTACTGCTCCTACTCCGAGTGTACTGCATCTCATACTCCGTGTCCACCCGTCACTGTAGAATTTGGCCTTGAAGGCCACCGTACAGCAAGCTAGCTAGTTAGCTCTCTCTGCTGGAGTCTGCTAGCATGGAGCGGAGGACAGCACGATTCAACCTGCTCCTTCGTCGTTAAAAGTTGGAGTCGTTTTGGACTCTACAATGTTCAGGGAAGACAGAGCCTGACAAGAGCACGGCCGTCTGCAAGAAGTGTAAAATAAAAATGTGGTACGGTATTTTGGAAATACGACAAAATGCGTGGAAGGAAGATGAAAGGAAGCAGCCGACCAGCTGCAACAAACTTCCAGCTGATTCCACAAGCAGGGCTGTGAAGAGTTCCCACTCCATCGGTTTCTGTATCACAAAGATGTACAAGCAGACAGCTCAGTGGAAGACGACGGGTTGAGCTTTAATACGCTGGAGCCAACGTACGTTACTCCTTCTCCAGACTTGGAACAGTACGCCTCATCTGTGCTGGACCACATCTCCACCACTATAGACAGTGTCACCACCCAGAAACGGATCACCATGTACCCCAACCAGAAGCCTTGGATGAATCGGGATGTACGTCTACTGCTGAAGGCCCGCAACATCGCCTTCAGGTCAGGGGATACACAGGCCTACAGTACAGCCAGGGCTGAGCTGAAGAGGGGCATCAAAAAGGCCAAGCACCACTACAAGGGGAGGATAGAAGAGCACTTCTCAAACTCCAACCCCCGACGTATGTGGCAAGGACTCCAGATCATTACAGATTACAGGGCCATCAACCCCTTCCCCATCTCCTCTGATGTCTCCTTCCTCAATGAGCTCAACAATTTCTACGCTCGTTTTGAGAGAGGGAACCCAACAACTACAACTAAGGCAGATTTGTTTCCAGACCACCAACCACTGACTCTTTTCCCCACCGATGTAGGAGCGGCGCTGAGCAAGATTAAAGTTCACAAGGCTGCGGGTCCTGATGGCATCCCTGGACGTGTTCTTAGAGCGTGTTCTGGGGAGCTGGCAGGAGTACTGACGGACATATTCAACCTGTCCTTGGCCCGTGCTGTGGTACTAACCTGCTTCAAAGCCACCTCCATCGTCCCGATACACAAAAACTCAAAACCATCAAGACTCAACGACTACCGTCCGGTAGCCCTCACCTCCATCATCGCAATGTGTTTTGAGCAGCTGGTCCTAGTACACCTCAAATCCTGTCTTCCCCCCACCCTGGACCCCTACCAATTTGCATACCGCTAGAACAGGAGCACAGAGGATGCAGTCTCCATAGCGCTGCACTCTGTTGTCTCACACTTGGACAACAAAAACACCTTTGCCCGGATGCTGGTCATAGATTTTAGTTCAGCATTCAACACAGTCATCCCCTCAAAACTCATCACAAAACTCACAGACTTGGGTATCAGTTCCCTCATGGGAACTGGTTACTGGACTTTCTGACCAACCGACCCCAACATGTCCGGCTGGATAACCACTATTCATCTACCATCACTATTAACACCGGTGTACCACAAGGCTGTGTGATGAGTCCCTTCCTCTACTTCACCCATGACTGCAAACCTGTTGATGGTTCCAATACCATCATTAAGTTTGCAGATGACACCACGGTGATCGGCCTCATCAAAGACAACGATGAGACCGCTTATAGGGAGGAGGTTGTTTGTCTGGCTGAGTGGTGTGACAACAACAACCTGCTGCTCAACACTGACAAGACTAAGGAGCTCATCGTGGACTTCAGGAGGAACGCTGGCCCACATCCACCCATCTACATCAAGGGGACGGTGGTGGAGCGTGTGAACAGCTTCAAGTTCCTGGGTGTCCACATCTCCGAGGATCTCACCTGGACGACCGGCTGTTCCAAACTGATCAAGAAAGCTCACCAGCGCCTTTTCTTTCTGAGGACTCTGAGGAAGAACCACCGTTCCTCAGACATCCTGGTGAACTTTTACCGCTGCACCATTGAGAGCATCCTGACCAACTGCATCACAGTCTGGTACGGGAGTTGCTCTGCCTCAGACCGGAAGGCACTGCAGAGGGTGGTGAAAGCCGCCCAACACATCACCGGAGCACCACTTCCTGCCATAAAGGACAGCTACAGGAAGCGGTGTCTTAAAAGGGCTGGAAAAATCATAAAAGACTTCAGCCATCCAGCACACAAGACTCTTCACCCTCCTGCCCTCTGTGAGGCGCTACAGGAGCCTCCGGACTAAAACCACCAGGTACCGGAACAGCTTCTTCCCCACAGCTGTCACTCTCCTGAACTCTGCCTCCTGACATCTGAACAACAACAACGGTCTGTATCCTCATACACATGGACTGTAACACCACCACCTGCACTTTCATCCATTAGCCCACTACTGTACAAACTGTACACATACAGTGGGGAGAACAAGTATTTGATAGACTGTTGATTTTTCAGGTTTTCCCACTTGCAAAGCTTGTAGATGACTGTAATTTTTATCATAGGTACTCTTCAACTGTGAGTGATGGAATCTAAAACAAAAATCCAGAAAAATACAATGTATGATTTTTAAATAATTAATTTCCATTTTATTGTGTGAAATAAGTATTTGAT